ACCCAGCTGACTAGTCTGTATGTGACCCAGCTATATTATCTGGGAATTTTCATGCATTATGCACCTTATTTAAAATCCTAGCAATTTTTTCCCTTCCATATATTGACATAAACATTGCTTGCCTTCCCTTTGCTGCTTACAAAAAGAACAGACACCCAGGTATCTGTAAATATAGAGCTTATGTTTTACTGCTACATTCTCGAAATCTATTGGGGCATTGGAAAAGAATCTAATTTGTCTTCTGAGTAGAAACCAAGGGTGTATGTCTTTGAAAAGATGACAGCAGTGGGCTGATCATCCTAAATGTGAATGTCTGCACAGATGGAAATTCCCAAGATGCCCAGGAGCCCAGTCTTTACACATCCTCCAGCACTGACATCATCTGGAAAGGAGAAAAATTTTTAAAGAAAGAACATTAAGAAATATATCGGAATGTGACAAACCAAGGTTATGCTTGTAACTCCATGTTGCCCAAGATTTTAGCTATACTTGCATTGCAAAGAGTAATAAATTAACTTAAATAAGACTGACAATTCCTGGAAGTGCTGGTTGGCTCAATCCCAGTTGATGCTATGACATTCTGTGTGGATGGCATACCCATGTGCCCTTACTTATGACCACTAATGAGTACTCAAATATTTTCTGGGCAGTAGGAATGTAATAATGTTAAATCTTTCTTCTTTATCTGCCATCCGCTACTTTGAGGGGATTTCTTGTGGTTGTGATCATTTGTTGGCCCTGCCTCTCTCTTGCTCTAGCTACTCTACCACATTTAGAGACTTTATATAAAAATGTCAGTAATGACTGCAGTGCCATATGTTACCTGGATGAATCAGGGATTTTATTCACTTTCTGTCAGTGCACTTTGCCTGCCTTTTCCTGGACCAATTCTAGTCTAGATTCTGAGAGCATTTCTTGGTGATTACCCCCTTATCATCTCCAAAAGATGCTATTATAGGGGCCCAGATGACTTTTTCCCACTTGAAATTCTTACACGTGTAAGAATAAGAGAATCCAATAGTCTTTCCTTTGCACCCTGAAATCCTTTTTTATTCCATGCTTGGCTTTTACTCATCAACTTCTCCACTAGACTATGTGTTCCTTGGAGGCAGTTTTATTCATTTCTCTATTCCTAACATTTAGCACAATTTCTGCACATAGTAGGTATTTAATTCCCGAAGTAAACTGAATTGAATTATGTTTCCATTTATTTGTATTTCACATAGCACCTGGCAGAGTGTCTGGCACTAGTAGCTTTCAGAAAATATTTAATGAATGAATGATTTATTAGTACTCACCTGTTTCTTCAACCACTTCCCCCTTATACAAGGGGATATGATCACAGAGTTGCTGAATGGGTGACCCCAACAGGAACCAGTCCACTTCTGTGAGCAGAGACTTCAGAGGGTTGTACTTGACCCAAGTGTATTTGTTGGAGAACATGTTGTTCATAGCCTAGCTCGGTATAACAGAGAAGAGCAGCATAAAATAAACTGATATAGTCTGACGCACCTTATTCTGAATTGTGACTGTCTTTCTTTTTCGGATTATTACACAGAAGGTGATCAGGAATCTCAAGACATCATCTCTTTCTCACCACTCGGTCTGCAGAAAAGCCTCATTGTTACCAGTGTAATGCTACTGCTGTTGGCAGTGAAACCCAGAAAAGGTAAATCCTCTGCTAAAGGTGGCATACATGGGAAGTTATAGAGGGAAACTCAAACCCCAGGTCTCTAGCCTCGGTGCAGTGTTTGTATATTCTCACCATACTGTATTGTTTCTTTGCATCTTTGTATCATTGGATATTATAACTTCACTCATTTTTCTGCTAATCACTATTGGCTTAGGTCCCTGCTCTGAGAGGCTGATTAGTCTTTTCTACAAAAACAATGGAATTTATTATAAGTCCTTGTATTTAGGGCAATATGGTGGAAATCGAGCTAATACGTACTCCTCTCAAAAAATAAAGTGATAACACTAGTAAGTTGAGTACCACATCCATGGTAAGGTATAATATTGCGATTTTGTCTCTAACTTTCTTCATTTCTCCATAGGCTCCAGTATTGCCCAGCTCAAGATTAGAGAATATTCAAGGACACCGTAGAATTACCTGCCTCTCATAGATGAACCGTTTGAGTTGGTCCACAGCAGGGATGGCTTTATGGTCCATCTTCAGGATGAAGCAGGCTCTTCAGGAGAGCACCCTGGATGCAATATAGCCCTGAGGCAGCAAGAGCACAGTTACTGCCACTCCCCAGTTCCCTGGGTTCTGAACTTGGTGAGGATGATGTCCAAGCCCTGGAGGAAAGACTTGAGCACGCACAGTAAGTGTATGTGATTGCTTTTCAAGCGGCAGTTAATTCTATCTACTTGACTTCTTTTACATAGCATTTTTATTTTTTCATTTGTCATTTCTACACCTTTGGAATTGTGTAAACCCATGATTTGTACTGCACTTTTCATGTTTTGGAACCAGAATTTTCAGTTTGAGGTTTGAAAGATTGAGAAGAAGCAGCTCTGTCTCTTTCCATTGACTTTTGTCCTGCCTCTTCCCCAATTTGGAGTAAATAAAATATTCTTTAGAACTGTGCTGTCCAATTGACAGTTACTAGCCATATGTGGTTATTGAAATTTAAATTCAAATTAGATCACATTTAAAATGTATTTCCTCTGTCACACATCTCAAGTGCTCAACAGCCTCAACTGGCTAAGGGCTTTCCTATTGGAAAATGCAGAAGTAGAACATTTCCACCACTGCAGAAAGTTCTGTAGCACGGCACTGTCGGACAGCTTAAGAAACTCTCTTAAGCATACACTCACCCTCACCCTTCCACATTCATACATGTTTCATTTATTCTCTCCTCCTTTACCATCTTCTCTCTTTCTCCAATTTTCTCCATCCTTTCTCCACCTCAAACCCAAGCTGGCTGCATAGGGGTGGGTTGGCAGAAGTTGGTATTGGAAGAGCAAAGGAGGGTGAGGACGTTGGAGCCAGAAGGGAACTAAGGCTATCGAATCTTCATCCAGAGTGGAAATTTTCTCTACAGAATTCCAAATAATTATACATTCTATAAGGTAGTATCTAACAGAAACCCTTCTAGTTCCTATTTTTTAATTCTCACAAATTACCAGTTCCTAAAATTCAAAAATAGACTGAAGCTGAGCCTGATGATAATGGAAGAGGTTCAAACCAAATCCTCACTGCTCTATTTTTTAAAGACACTTCTGGGATTTTCAAGACACCCACTTAAACACAATTTCGGTACTACTTCCTTTTCAATCCTATCTTTCAAAGACTCTGTACTTTCAAATATGTCATGGAACTCCCAACACCAATGGGAAGAAGGCATGTGAGGAAGTTTCTAGAAGAAAAGGAGGAGAAAAACATATTCAAGCATCCAGTGAGATGAGCTACAACCTACTTATATCCACCGTGCAGAGCTATGAACCTAGGTAAAGCAGGTTCATAATTAATGTTGGCAGAACAAATGGAAAACAAATGAATAAATGGATGAAAGAATAAGTTTTCTGAGACTTATTGTAAATACGAGTAACTAAAATTTGGAAATAGTTTAGTATTTTCAGTTAACATACTTTCCTTCTTACAGAAGAAGTATGATTTATTGTCTATCATATGTACATAATTAAATGTGTATCCTTGCTCCGGATTTCTTCTATTTTGTCAGTGCTCTGTGATTGTTATTTTTCTGCATGGTGTTTTGCATTAGAAGCCCTAATTCCCTCATGTATTCGTTCGACAAATATTTTTGAGAGCTTATGTGCCAAGCATTGCTTTGAGCTTCAGTCACTTTTCTATGTACTTTTTGAGTCTGTAGGGGGACAAAAGCATCACTTCTCCAATTTCCACCTGAAAGGCCAAGTACATGCATATGTTTCTTGTTGTATTTTTTTCTTAGAAATAGTTTTGTTTGGTTTTTAATCAATTGCTTGATTATTGGAAGGGAAAAGCAGAAGTGAGGAAATTCTTAAAGAATTGCAAAAATAGATCTTAGAATTCAAACATATAATAAAACACAGCTGTCCTGCTGCCCTTTAGAAAGCCAGTCTTGAAGAATATAAAAATTCCCTTGCTGCTTACATGTTTGTAGTCAAAAATGGTGGTAGAAGAGCATAATCCTGCATGGATGTTGATGATGGCGATATTTTTCTCATTGTCAATTGTCACTGTCTCCTGAACATTGCCACCTTTGTTGCTTGGGCTGATGATATTATAAACCTAGGTCGACAGCAAAGACATAATTATTTTTCCATAAATCATATGCATTTGAAAGGCACCTCTTCCTGTGGAATAAAGCCTTCTACCTGCTATGAGTGAGGCATTGAAGGCCAAAGCCTCTCCACTGGGACCTAGTCCAAGAGCCCATGCTAAAATAAGAATGCAAAGCTTTTCCTCACAGTTGACCATATTATATATGGGAAAGCAATGACATCACAGGAGAAATGAAAATGACCACATCTCAAAGCTGAGAGTTACATTCGTGAGGGTCTTGTGGTTGGAGAGAAATAACCTCATTGTTTCGATTTGGTTATTTCTGGGATTTCATCCCAATTAGACGGTATGGACTCTCTACTGTCCTTCAGATTATTTTGTATCTTCCTTTTCCTCTCCCAACATCTCTAAGAGACAAAGCCCGTAAGGAACCAACTCACTTCGTATCCATGAGATTGTATTCCAAAGATGGTCAGCACCACCAGAAACGCCACCTGAAAAACAGACCAGTCACAGCCATTCTCTACAGGGTGGTCATTGAGGGTGGGGACAAGAGTCATCACTGGACAAGAGAAGCACAAGTATCTCAGAAAATGTACACCTAGAGACCTTGATGAGTGGTCATGGACTGGCAACAGTTCATTTCTCAAGTGTGAAACAGGCACATTCACTCACTTAACAGACATTTGTTGAGTTCATGCTATTTGTCAGACACAGGCTCCACCTCTGCCACCCAACTCTTCCCAACACTGTAACCATTTAGGCAGCAGCAAAAACTTGGAGTAGGTGAGCAGTGAAGAAGAAAGACCCATTTTGTTACGGGAATACCCTGGTATGATTCACACTGGCTTTGGATTAGTGGTCAAGTGCATACTTTGGTAAAAAACAAAACAAAAACTTTAATTCCTTAAGGACAAGAAGGTAAAATAGGTTTTAAATGGATTCACAGATGGTAAAGCCACAATGGATTTCTAAGGGAAACTATGAAAATAGGATACTTGGGAGCACTAATAACTTTGAGGCTGACATCAAGGAAAACCTCCATATTCTCCTACAACCCATGCCTTAGTGATACTGTCAGACAAGTGCTGGGCCAGCGTGTCGTGAGTCTGACATTGAGGCCGTTCTATGCAACGTGCTGAGCCCGGTTTTGTGCTCTCCCTTCTGAACATCACAGTGTACGGCACTATCACTGAAAACTACTGATGGAGGGGGTCTGTGGGAAGGACAGATCTTTTAAAGAACTATCAGTGGGACTCTTCTCCTTCCCCTTCTACCCCACCTCTACCATTTCTAGACTGGAGAAGCATCTAACAAAGACTTGTATGCAGATATTCAACTCTGATGTTCCTATATATTCTATTTAGTGGGTCTAAAATAGAGGTTTGAACAACTAAGTGAAGGAGTAACCACCTTAATTGTATGATTAACAAGAGCTCACAGAGTGTCCTCTGTCCCCAAGGAACTTCCCGTCCAACACTGTGATCAATACACCATGGCTCTAAGTTTGTGTTTCAGAATTAGGACTCCTCTTGAAAATCAAGAGACCCCTGGGAGAGGAAACTCTTTAAGCTGGCAACCTTTAATACCTTATGGGGAGGTACTTAACATGTTACTTTGTCCCTTAGCAACTGAATGAGAATAAGGAACGACACTGGGAGAAGGGATTCCATTCTGGGTCAGAACATAGTCCACTGTCGATGGGGCACTGTGGGTGGTGTAGAACTTGGAGGTTGGGATGAGATGGTGGTGTGGGGGTGGTCATGGAAGGAATTCTTCTTCTTAAGGGAAAACTTAGACATAATGGGTGACCACTGAAGATACTCTGGCTGCTTAAATTTTGCCATAATTGCTTCTGTAAATAGGGCCTAAGATTGGTAAATTACACCCTAAATCCCACATTTACAGGCTTGGGAAAATCACATTCCTCTGTGCCTCAGTCTCTTCATCTGTAAAATGGTGATAATACTACTCAGCTCACAGGGTTGTTGCAATGAAAAGATTAGCTTATTCATGTGAAATGTTTAAGTCTTAGTATGAATTTGGAAAATGACAGCTGCCATTATTACACAAATTAAATTTTATTACCAATGTTATTTTTTAATTACCACCTATCTTTTAGATAGTAAAATAACTACAAAGCTTGTAATAAGTAGTGATTATTAAACAACTTCCACTTTAAAATTCTCTAGATATTTCCAGAATTTTTCTCTGTATTTTTATAGTGAACATCTCAAAAAGTAGACAATGAACAAATAAATATCTGACTTAATGTTCAACACTGTTTCCACCAAAGACATCATTAACTCAATCAGACGAGCTTAGAAGCATGCACAGTGTTATCTAAGACCCCCAAAATCCCTGACATGCTCAATATGAACTTTCTCTGCAAATAGCCACCATATGAGTATCCAGAAGTATAAACAAATACTCACAAAGGTTTTCATTTTGCTTGAAGGTAATAAGGTGCTGGAGCAGGTAAAGCTGCCTGGTGTAGCTTCCACCCTTTATATTGGCTTTGAGGTGTGGAAATCTCTTTTCTGAATGATCCCATTAGAAAAGACCATGTCCATATCTCTGACACACCCCAGCAAACTCCTTTATCGGGATTGAGACCCAGCCACATACCTGATATCAATGAAGTTCATTAGTCACTTGGTCACTCTGTAAATATTCCCTGCTTATCTGCTCTATGCTGCACTTGAGATTTCAATTTCCACCCTTTAAAAATATTGCAAGATGCTTGCTCTACACACATATTTCATAGACACATAAGGACATATACCCAATATCTTCTCCTGAAGGTGAAGTTCTTCCTTAAGACCTGAGTAGGGCCCCCACTCAATGTCTTTTTGTCACTTTCCTGCTTGTTGAATTCTTCTACTAAGGAATGGACATGAGTCTAGAGGTGAGGACAGTGGCTGGGGATCCTTGCTTTGAGAAAGAGCAGCCTTAGGATTTAATTTCCTCTTCCCTTTAGAGTTGGTGCTAATTTCTCTGCCCAATTACCAGGGGTGACCAAAGTTTTATACTCAGCCTTGCCCAAAACTCCTTGCAAACTATGAGTTCTTTGTCTGTAGTTACCTCGAGGAACACTAAGAAATTCTCAGACTTTAGAAAAGAGAGAGAGAGAATAGCGTTTAATTTATATAGTTTTTTAAATAGACATTTTTATAGCAATTTTAGGATTACAGAGAAATTGAGCAGAAAGTACAGATGTTCCCATACCCCACATACAAAGTTTCTCTTAATATTAATATGTGACATGAGTGTGGTACATTCGTTACAATTATGAACCAATATTGAGCTATTGTTGGTAGCAGTTTTACATTAGGTTTCTCTCTTTGTGTTGTACAGTTCTGTGGGATTTGCCAAATGCATGATGTGATGTCTTCACTACCACAGTATCATGCAGAGTAGTTTTGCTGCCCTAAAACTCCTCTGTGCTCCACAGGTTCATTCCTCTCTCCTCTCCCTGGAAACCCTGGCACCCACTCATTTTTTTCCCCATTACTTCAAACGTTTATCATTTCTTTGTGTTGGGACCATTCAAAGTCCTCTCTTGTGTCTAACTGAAAGTGTACAATAAAATGTTGTTAATTACAGTCACCCTACAATACTATAGAACACTGGAGATTATTCCTTCCGTCTAGCTGTACTTTCGTATTCATTAACCAACCTCTCACTAAACCCACTACCCCTTCCCCTTTCCAGCCTTTAATAACTGTGGTCCTAATCTCTACTTCTACGTGATCAACTTTCTAAGCTTCTACATGAGTGAGAACATGCAGTATTTATCTTTCTGTTCCTGGCTTACTTCATTTAACATAATGTCCTTCAAGCTCATCTACGTTGCCTCAAATGACATGATTTGATTCTTTTGTATGGCTGAATCGCATTCTATTGTGTATATATACTACATTTTCGTTATCCATTCATCTGTTGATGGACGATTCATGGGAATGCAAATATCTCTTCAATATACTCATTTCCTTCCTTTTGGATATATACCCAGTAGTGGGATTGCTGGATCATATGGCAGATCCATTTTTAGTTCTTTGAGTAACCTCCATACTGTTTTTCGTTATGGCTATAGTATTGGATTGGAATTCATGCAATTTTTTTAACACCACAATTTTAAATGGATATCTAGTGTCAGAGTGGGGTCAGGAACTCAGAATGTGGGATATTAAAAGCAACAACAACAAAAATATCTGCAAATTGCAAAATTATAAAATATTTATAATCACCACAGTAAGCAAAGAGATAACATGAATAATATCCTTGTTCTACAGCTGAAACAGCTTCCTAACTAGCAGCTTTAAAAAGAAAATGGTGCTCTTAAAAAATTGAATATTTGGGCATTTTGGGGGTTACCTAGTTCACTGTAACTCCCTTACCTTGGCTGTTCAGCTGTGACAAATGTAAAATGTACAGCTTTATTAAATCTTTCTGAGATAGTAGCAGCAGAAAGGATCATAGTTCTGTAGTACATCTGCAAATTTTCTCCCATATCTGGCTCCAGAGTCTCAAAAAAGCAAGCCAGCAATGCCTATAGACATTAGGGCTGATGGAAATATTATACCCTACCCTCTTCTTTGTCCCCGTCCTGTCCTCAGGAGTTTTTCTGTGTCTATAGGTCTAGTAATGATAATAGCTAGCATTTATGGAGCATTGAATATGTTCCAGCACTTTCTAAACATTTTGCATACATTGACGCATTTGATCCTCATAACAACCCTATAAGTTACCTTCTGTCCTTTTCCATTTTACAGATAGGAAAACCAAGGGACAGAGAAGTTAAGTAACTCTTTGGGGTTACACACTTCTAAGGGCAGAAGCTGGAATATAAGCCCAGTCTGGATTTCATAGTCCATGCTCTCAACTATAAGAATTATATGGCCTCTTTGGTTAATTGCTGGGTAGGTGTAACTTCTTGCCTTGCTGGGATGAGGGCAATAGGAAAGAGGCTTCTGCTTCCAGAATGCTCCTTGACAAAAAGATAGGCTTGGAAATTGTCAGACCTACCCACAACTCAATAGTGAAAATGTAAATAGGGGAAATGAGAATCTGTGTTTGTAAAAGTTGTTATGAATCAAATTCATGTCTAAGCTGCCCAAGTCTCCCCTGAAAGGAGGAAATCGTTGACTTGGAAGGGCCTTGTGCTGACTGTGCCCACACCTTGGATACTCAGAAGTAGTAGGTCTGAGAAAGGGTGCGGGCATGTGCACTTCTGTAAGTTCCCTGGGTTATTCTGATTGAAAGAGCTGTTTCCAGTCTGATCCAAACCTCTCACAAGGAAACTGAGTCACAAACAGGTTAAGGAACTTCCCAAGGTCCTTTTATAGTTACTGGCAAAGATAAGACTATACCCCAGGCCTTCTGACTTTGAGTCCAGTATTCTTTAGTTGGTAAAGCACTGAAACTTTTGAAACAATACTTTAATAAATGAAGATATCAATATTTATCAAGATATTAAGGTATCTACTCTACTATGTGAGCCATTATTTGCTGATACAAACAGTGCTGACACAGGCACTTTTGCACATGTTCAAGAGTGTC